GGTCTGGAGGCTGCCCGGCAAACCGTGAAGCCGGTAATGCTCGGGCAACCCTTTTTCGCGTGGCTGGGAGGGAGGAGGGGGAGTTAGGGCGGGGACTTTGGGAAAGGGGCGGGGAAGGGGCGGAGTTGGGGTGGGGGCGGGGGTGGGAAAGGGGCTGGGCCAGGGCCTGTGGAGTGTCCTCTTTTTTTATTTTTTAAATATGGTAACCCTATTGGGGGGGCAATGCCCCCATGCCCCACCCAAAATCTGCCTCTGAGCAAAAGCCGATATCACTGGGGTGAACCTGGGCAATTAAAGTTACTGTTCTTCTGTCCTAGTACTGAACAATGCCAGTGACCTGCTGGGCTTAGATGCCTTTCAGCTGTCTGAGGTGCTGACTCAGAGATCCATGATTCTACGGGGAGAAGAGATCAGTTCCCCTCTCACTGTGGAGCAGGTGAGTATCCGGCTTCCTGTGCACTTGCAATCATGTGCTCTGTTTCAGTGTCACTTCATGGATTTTGCCCCAAGGTGGCAGCATTTGCATATATTAAAGGGAAGAAATGAGCAGTACCATGAGGCCTGCAAAATGGCTGTTTGATGGAATATCGTGTGGTCTGTGTGGGGAGGAAGAAAAGGAGGATTGTGTGTTTTTTCAGGGACTAGACAATGAAAACTTACATGGAACTGAGTGGGGAAGAGGTAAAAAGAGAAATTCGTATTGGAACCAAATCTGTGACTGGGTACTGTTAGTATGGAGCTGGGCTTGGATCCAGGATGGGGGAGGGGAGGCTCCTAGGCTTCATCTGGGCTGGGCTGAGTTTTGGAGCTTGGCGGTGGGTGGAGGTATGTGGAGTTGGTCCCTGCTTCTGACTGGGTTGTGTGGATATAATGACTGATGGAGAGAGAGACCCAGGCATCTTAGAGAACAGTAACTGAGCTATGGGAACTCTCCATTTGGGTCTTAGTGAGTAGTCTCAGGCCTGACTGTTGAGTACAAACTGCGGATTAGTTCAGTGCTGCATGCCCCGTTCCCTCAGGACAATCTTCCTGTTAACCAGTAAAGCCAGTATTCAGGTATAACTTTTAACAATCTGATCTACGTTAGTGAGGGAAGTGACATATCTGAGAATATAAACAGTGCCTGAACCCTAATGTTGTTGTGTCTATTTAGGTTCTTCTGTGGTTCCTAACATCATGGTGTCTATTAACCTGAATAACTGTATGGTACTGTAGGTCATTAACCCTTAGGGAGCTAGTCATCTGAGGGCACAGTTGCTGTTTTTACACATGCATAGGTGACTTTTTTTGAAAATCTTGTCCTGTGTTAATAAAATCTAACTGTGAAGGACAGCAGTCTGCTACTGAGCAGAAATGCAGCATTACCAGGAGCGAGTGAGCATCATACTACAGCAAAGCCAACGTCTGTAATGCTACAGGGAAGACTCAGAATACCAAAGGGAGCCCCAGGCAGTTCAGAACAATAACATGTGGCGATATAGATTAAAAAATAGCATACTGCTTGGGCAGAACTTTCCCCCCATTCAATTGCTGTGGTATCCATCCTTGCTTGTTTTAGACCCTTTGGCGACTCTACGTATGAAATGCAGTGACTGGACACTTAGAACAAATCCATTCACTATTACTGATACAGCAAGCACAATGCTTCCTTCAGAGTCTTTCGCTATCAGCTAGTCTCTCTGCCTTGACTTACGTATGGACCTGCCAAATCCATTCCCCTCCCTGGGCCTCCAAATACTGTGTCCAGCTATTTCCAGATGTCATTCTGGGTACAGAGGATGGAGCTGCCAGGAAGTTCTTATTGTGTAATAGGCTCATTACCATTCTGAGCTTTGACATTTCAGTGTTGAATGGTGGGAGCTGGGCAAAGTCAGGCAAGGCTGGGAGAATGAAAGGAGCCATTCAGATTCCCTGTTGAGCCACAGTATGGGGAAAGCAGCTTTGTTGGGTTATTCCTGAGTGGGGAGGGTCCATTCCTGGAAGATGAGGCCAAGACATTGTATAACCATACAATCTGGCTGGCAGAGTGTTTCTCTTCCCTGCATCTGGTTCATTAAAAGGGGTTGTCTAGAAGGGGTGATTCAGCCTCCACAAATGAGATTGACCATCTGAGCAGAGGGAGAAAACTCCACAGTGCCAATGTGTCTTTGCTTTACAGCTACCTCTTGGGCTGAGTTGATACACGTCCCAGGATGTGCTTGAGGCTGCTAGGTGACAGTATAAAGGGGCAGGTCTCTCCTGGGCACACCCACCTGGAGTGTCTGCCTTCAATATGCCAGACTGGATAAAACAGTAGGAAGTGAATGTTTAGAATGCTGAGACCCCACTTGGGGAGAGGGGCTGGGGCGGGGCTGGGAGGTTTTCTGACAGATGAAGAGCAACAGCAAAATTAGGGAGGAGCTGGCATCTCTCAGGCCAGGCTGAGTTGGGGAGAGAGAGGCTGGGTTCTTTCAGCCCTGGCTCTGTGCAAAAGCTGAGAGAAGGGAAGGGTCCCTTGGAAGGTCTGTGTTCCCACAGGACATGACAGCTGATTGTATTGCCTTAGGGAGAAGCATGATGCATCTGAATGTGGGATCTTCTTCAGGATAGCACCTCAAGCAGCCTATTGTGGGGTGGATGGCCTACCCTGTAACTTCAATGCTGTGTGCATAGAAAGTCTCGAAGAAGGGATCCTTAAAGCTAGTAGTGTTGTTGTGAAATTCCCTCTGGGGCTAGGGCTCTGCATTGGAGGCCTGTGCTTTGGCAAAGACCTTGCATGGTAGGCTAAAACATGAAAGGGACATCTTTGAAATAGTCCCAGCTTACAGTTTCTCAAAATGAAGAGCTGAGTCAAGTCATTACAGGTTGGCAAGCCTAACTTCTGTACCAGGCAGATTGGTTGAAACTATAGGAAAGAACAGAATTATCAGACACACAGATGAGCACAATTTGTTGGAGAAGAGTCAACACGGCTTTTGTAAAGGGAAATCATACCTCACCAATCTAGTAGAATTCTTTGAGGGTGTCAACACGGGTGATCCACTGGGTCTTCTTTGAATGACGGTCCCTATGTGTATTCCACACATGGGTACACATGCGTGCCATTCGCCTGAGTCCAGAAATTTTTCCAAGCAATGTCCGTTGACTCACACATGTGCTATGGATCTCCTCTTGCTCCCGACTAAGGCCTCTCCAGTTCCTTCTTACCACTGCATGGCCTGAGTCAGAATTTTATGTCCTCTTTACAACTTGTTGTAAAGACATTTATAAATAGTTTTATTTCTTAGCTTAATAGTTAAAGTTCATAGAATACTTAGTAGAGTGTTTTTCTTCCTTTCTTTCTCCCTGGTTGGAGAAGCCTTCCCAGGCTCCAGGACTATGCCCAGAATCCCAGGATTCAAGAATTGTATCTCTTGCCCTCTCTCCTTCCTCATCAGTGACAAACATCAATGATGCCTCTACTGACTGGGAGAGGAGAATATCTCTGCAAAGTGTAGTATCGGTCACTCTTTTTCACCCAGAACTCGGGAAGCCTGGGAGCTTCACCTGAGAAAGCACCTGATGGAGAAAACTATGAACCCCTTCTCCAATCCAGGCCAGGGAGATCCCCCTCCCCCCTGTACATTGGCCTCAATTAACCAGCAGTGCCCCTCCAACCATGTACCTGGGACTGGAGCCTCCAGCACCTAAGCTCAAAGGCTCTTCTTCTAGGGCTCTCCACGAGGGCAGAGGGCACTCTTATGGGCATGAGGACAGATCCCCGTCAAGACTGTCCATAAGAGATGCGCTCCCTCCCCAAGCCTCTGCAAGTTTGGTGAGATGTCGCACATAGAACCTAGGGAGCTGGCTCCGCTAATGACCCCCAGATTGGAGGGCAAAGCACATAAAAAGAAAGATCCATTAGTTCTGTCAGTCACCTCAGTACCGAAGTGTAAGGACTGACATTCACTGGCTCCATCTACAAGCGGTGGTCTGGACCCATCATCAGTACCGCGTCATTCATCTAAGGACCATCCAGCTGCCGTAGACATACCGGGCCATCAGACTTGACTGCCGGAACCCCTTGGATACCAAGGCATATGGAAACTTTCATGCACGGGGGGATATATTCCTCCCTTATCCACAGTCTCCACTTTCCTCCATCCTGGCCCTCCTGAGAGATATTACTCTGGAGGAGGAGTCTACATTGATGTCCCAGGAACCGTCCCACCTCCAACCATCTGGCCAGGAGTGCTCCGGTACTGACTGCCCCGGCATTACTGCTTGAGCAGTTTTTGAACTCAGATGAGTCAGAGGTGCTAGCTGCTCCGGTATGTCTACAGACACAGTCATGCCTTGGCAGAAATTCAAGGAGTCATGCTCTCTGTTCCTTTGAGTACAACACCCCCCCAGGACCACTGGTACTGATTCCCTTGCAGGCCCCCGCAACCGATCAATCCCTCTTTTTGGTCTTAATGGAGTCCGTGGGATTTTTATGGCAGGCATCCAGGCCCTTCTCAAGAATTGTACCACTACTCTTCCTCCTGCCAACCAGATCCATCAGTGTACGAGGAGGAGGAGGTGAATCCGGATCTGCAGGTTACACCGGGTGTCTCCTCATCATCTACGGATGAAGCACTCACTTCTCCCTCGCTGTCTCCTCCAGATGCCCATCGGTGGTACCAGGAGCTACTGCAAAGAGGTGCTAGTGACCTCCAGATCCCACAAGAGAGGATCCAGGACTGTCAGTGCTGGCTCCTGGATATCTTGCAACCTTGGGGACCGAACACCGTGACCCTTCTGATCAATGAAGCCGTACTAGAACTGGTCAGAGTGGTATGGCACACTCCAGCATCCTGTTCCCCTACAGTGAAAAGAGCTGAGAGGAGATATTCTTGTTCCTGACAAGGGAGCTGAATTTTTGTTCTCCCATCCTTCCCCCAATTCACTGGTGGTACAGACAGTTACAGAAAGGGCTTGGTTGCACTATCAAAGGGCCACCCCGACAGATATAGGCTCTAAGAGACTGGATCTCCTGGGGAGGAAGGTCTTCTCCTCTGCAGGCCTGCAATTTTGTGTTAAACTGCCAAGCTCAATTAGCAAAATATGATTTTTAAAAACTATTCCAGGCTTGCAAGCTTCATAGACCAACTTCCCACAGAGGACAGAGCCCAATTTCAGTCCCTTCTAGATGAGGGAAACTAGTGGCAAAAACAGCTCTCCGGGTCTGGCCATTGGCTTAGTCATGAAAAGGGACTCTTGGCAGTAAGCGTCAGGGTTTCCTAGGCAGGTCCTGGATGGTGTTCTCCCCTTTGATGATTCAGACCTCTTTAATGAATGCAGGGATTTGTCTATTCTTTCATTAAAGGACTCAGATCAACTCTGCATTCCCCAGGGATTTATACTTGAGCCCCCAGGAGGAAACATCAGAGTCAGTTCTATAGACCAAGACCATCTTTTCCACGTGCACCTTATTAC